GCTTTATTCTGACCGATTCACCCGATTTCGATCCGGATCGCCGATTCGCCTATCCGAATCGCCGATTCTCCGATCCGGATCGATTTTTGAAAAGCCCGATCCGGGTCACCGATCCGGTTTTTAAACTATTGATCTAAACCATTGATTTTCAAGATTTTCAAACCTGCAGGATCTGCACCGCTTCTAGAGCTTATAATTTACAGTGGCATTGGATTTGCAGGCCATCAAATGAGAAAGTGTATCATCAAACCAGGCTTGAAGGAGCATCTTTGATTGCCCCTTGTACACTCTGCACACTTGTAAGAATGGTGAAGCTATTACACATACCCCCTTCCACTACACGGAGGAGGGTCTTTGATATGAGAATTGAAAATGTAGAGGCTCAATGTAAAATAGTACTACTTCAATTTGATCCTCTTCTTTTTTCCGGCCACCATTTTCCCATCAACACCAACAGGAACATGCCCTGCAACCTTAACCCCTTTATGCCCGGTATTCGCCCAAACCACCTTAAACCTCAATCCAGTCACCAAATCCACCCCGAATACCGCCGTTCGATTCAAAACGTCCAGGGAAGCGGCTTCCCAAAACGGCCCATCGGCCGCCGCAATCACCACACTCTTCTTTGCCGTCTTCCCATGACCCTGATAGAACCCCTGCATATTGCTCTCTCCTATCTTCTCTTCCCTGTAATACAAGCTCACGTTAATGGCGTCGTAGTGAATACCACTGTCTTTGTTAGGGTTTGATATTTTGAGCTCGAAAAGGACGGTGGTATTCCGGGTGGTATTGGAGGAACTAGAGGAGATGTTGAGGGCAGGGGAGTAGAAATCGATGAGGTCATAAGAGGGGTTTTGCGGGCGGAGGGAGAGCCAGAGGAAGAGGGCGGTGAGGCCAAGGAGAAATGTGAAACCAAAGCACCATGTGCAAAAGCCTCTGCGTGCTGACATTTTCACTGCAGAGAAGGGTGGCTTTGGGGAATGGCGGTTTTGGAGGTGATCGTGGTTTGGAAGAACGATTGTTTTTGAGAGGGAGATTGCTAAGAGGTGGCGCGTTTTACTTGCTTGCGGCCGATTACTGTTTTCACGCGCTCAGCGGAGGACCTTTGAAACTTCGCGGAATATTATAGCGACACGGTTTCTGTGCGGCCAGCCCGCATATTGTAGAACTGCGGACATGGCAATTAATATATTTTTGAAAGATAATTTGATCTTAATGCTTAGATAATATATAATATTTAACATGAATAAAAAAAAATTGAAAAATAGAAATAATTATTATATTAAAAAAACATTTAAAGAGCTAGCTAGCTATACTTGTTTTTAGATGGACCACACATGCTTTATACCTCTAGGCCGTATATTGTAAAAATACGGTCCAGCCCGCATATCTCTTGGCAGGTACGGTATAAAAGTATTAAACAATGTACACGCAAGCTGGGAAGACAAACGTGGATCCATTATTTTATGAGTGCAAGTGTCCACTCAGTTTTTGGATGGTTATGGTTGCGTTGGAAAATTATGAGTGAAAGGGGTGAAACCCTTTAAAATATGGAAAAATTGCACGGTACTTCCTAATTTGGTGGGGGATTTTCTCATGGACCCTAAATTTGAAATACTTGATGATGGCGTTAACTTTGGTATTTTTCAATCTTCTAAGTCTCTAAACCATTTTCGGAAAGGTTTCCACACTTCCCCTACAGCATAGAAGATCTATGCTTTCTCAATCATCCAGCTGTCCAATTTTGATCAAGAGAGTCATTCACCATTTAATCTTAGATTCAACATTTGAAAGTATTTTATATTTAGTTTTTTTTATACAAATTGTATGTATATAAAATTTGGTACGTGTCATCTTCTCATTGGAGCGCACTTATAAAAAATGTTAAAATATTTTTTCAATAAAATATAATGACCAAAATACCCCTTGAAATTTTTAGGGGTATTTTGGTCATTTTATTTTATCGAAATTTTTTTTTATTTTTGTTGGTGCGAGTTTAATAGACGATTGGATGTACAAAATTTGATGTCAAAATAGTTTATAAAAAAAAATTAAAAATAAAATAATATAGAGAAGTGACATTGTGATTAGGACAATCTTAACCCTCCATTCGGAATGGATGGTTGAATAAGAAGAAATATATAAGTTTTATGTTGTAGGAAAAACATAAAAAGCTCGCTCAACAATTTTTACCCACATCAAAGTTATTTTTAACAAATTATTTGCCCTGAACAAATAATGTAAGGATGCCTACATCGATCTCCCTACCCCAAACCAGCCTCACGTACGCACTCACTCACTCTCTCCCCCAATCCGAGGCTAGTCCCATATCTCCTCTCTCTCTCTCTCTCTCTCCCTCCCAATCTGAGCTATGTGTCATATCCCTTTCTCTATACCCCTAGCCCTCTCTCTCTCACTCCCCATCTGAACTCTGTGCCATACTCAATTTGAGCCCTGCCCTAAACAAACCCTGCTTTGTTGAGCAACACGGTTTTGAGCCCCAAGCTTATTGCTTCTAAAAAGAGAATCATCCACGCTCATCGGTTTCAGGTACCCAGGCTCGAGCTCCTGAACCATTATTTCAAGGCCACAACTAGTCAATTCTAAAGAGAAGGTTTTGGGATTCACTATGTTGGGGTTTGAGATTTTTATGCTTGAGTAGTCAATCTAGAGAGAGAAAAAGACACTCTATCTTAGTAAAATATGTTGTGACCAGCTCACCACTTTTAGTGATTCAGCTAAGTTCATATCAAAGTTTGAAAGCCCTAATACGACACAACACCTACGTCCATGCTCCCTTCTTACACTGCAATCATAGAGTTAAATTACTTTTAGAGAGATTCTCTTTATCCTTGAATAATGAATACATTGATGAAACACGCCCAAATTGCTGAATTTAATGCCAAAAAATCTGTGTAAGAAGGCTTGAATGTGGTTTTATGCAAAACACTAAATAATGGTAGTTATTTTCATGAACACAGTGTGAGAAAAGAGCATAAACGCAGCCGAGGGGCTTGAATACGATATTGTGCCAAACACTAAATAATGGTAGAGAAAAAGCGCTAAGGCTGTCATTGTTCAACGACACTACATTTGTGTATCTGGAGAGAGGTCAAACGAGCAATGTCCATCCATTTAAAAAACTTAGACAAGAAGTGCCAAGAGAAAAAACTTAGACAAGAAGTGCCAAGAGAAAGAGGTAATAGATAGAGAGAGGGGGTATGGTGCAAAGCTCAAATTGAGAGTGAGAAAGAGATCGGTTTGGGGTAAATGAGAAAATATCTCTATACTTTTTATTTTTAAGTTTCATATCTCAATAGATCCAAGAATTCAAAAGATATTTTATCGTATAGAAATCTTAACTTTTATATCTTCTAACATCTAGACTAATTTTATCCACTTTATTCATTTTCTTTTATCCCAAACAATTTGTTTAAAAACAGTTATTTGTAAACCTTTCTCTCTCTTCATGTAATATTTTCCTCATTTATCTTGCTCTTTCTACCATGACTCTCCCCAACCCCTTTTCTCTCTCCCACGTCCTAATCTCTCTCCCCATAATAACTCCCCCTAATTCCTTTCTCTTTTTATATCTCACGTCATAATCTCTTTCTCTTCCAAGTGACTCTCCCTAATTCTTCTTTTTTTCTCTCTCCAATATGACTCTTTTTAATTTTTTTGTCAACTCTCTCTTTCTCTCACCATGAACCTCCTCAATTCTATTTTTTCCCTCTCTCTCATAGTGTTCCCCACTTTTTTTGTCCCCCTCCAAGTCGTTATTCTCTCATGTCTTAATTTCTTTCTTTCTCTCCATTGTAACTCTCCCCAAACCCCCCTCTCTCTCCCCATATTACCCCAACTCTCTCTCTTCATCCATCTCTCCCCCATGTTTGCCTCTCTCCCTTGGGTATGTTTGGTTGCAATATTAACGTGTACTCAGCAAACTATTGTCGTTTGGTGCTGATTTTGGGCTCACAATAGCAGCATAACAAACTCAGTATGATTTTGGGTTCAACTCCATGGATCCATTCACAATCTCATATTTCCTCTTTCTTTCTCACTCTTCTTTTTCTCACATTTCTGGACCAGCTCTTTGAACTACTAAAATGGCATCAATTTCCCTCACTTCCTCATAGTCCCTCACAAACTCAAATGGCAGAACCATTCATACAAAAAACCCATTTAAGAGAACCGACAATCTCTCATTTTCTCTCTCTAGAATGCCCAGAAGAGGAAATTCTGTTAGCTGCTCTATTAATGAGGAGTTCTCATCTCCCTCTTTCTATTTTACAGTTATTCCGAAAAGATTCATACTGAGAAAGAAGACGGCTTATCTTCTTCTGCTTCTCAAGATCAAGGAAATGGGGGTGATGAACCCGAGGAGAAAAACAAACAGTAAGAAGTTGATTGGAAGGTCGATGAAGAGTTCAATAAATTCATGGGGAATCCTTCTATTGAAGCAGCCATTAAGTTGGAGAAGAAGAGAGCTGATAGAAAGCTCAAGGAACTTGACAGAGAAGCCAGTGGTAACCCGCTAACTTGACAGAAGTTGTGGTTTATTGGAGTTGCAAAAGGGGTTAGATAATTTTTTTTATTGAGAGAGATAGTGTTTTGGGTTTATTAGAGATAGGGTTTGTGGTTTATTAGGATTACAAAAGGGCCTAGATAATTTTTAGAGAGAGAGAAAGAGGAAAGATAGATAATGTAGATATGCAACTTTGGATATTAGAGAGAGATGAAGTTTTGAAAAAGAGAAAGACGGTGATTTGAGAGAGAAATTGTGTTATTTTAGTATTTTTTTTATAAAAAATTCATGATCAAAGGGGTTTAGGTAATTGTAAGATAGAAAAGATGGAGACCTTATGCTACAAGTAATATTTTTAATTATTTGGTTTCATGAGAAATAGAAGTTAAAAATAGAAAATAAATAGATATTTTCCCTTAACAAATTTTACCTTATGTAAATAAGTAACTGTAGTTTTTTAAACAAATATTAGGAAATGCATAAATATAAATTGGCATCTAAATCAGATATGACTTTTTATTTTATAAGGCCGCAGTCGTATCAAAATAAGTAAACCCTCACCTCATAATTCATAAAATATTGCGATTCAAGCAACGAAAAACTTCGAAATCGAACAGCTCGGTTTGAACATTATGGTTGTAAAAAAAAATAGGACTTCGAATTCTAAAAATAGTGTATATTGCAACAAATCATCCAAACCGTCCAGTTTGCCCTAAAAGTAAGTGTTCATGGATACGCAAGATCTATAGCATTTTTTAAATTTCAAATTTTATTATTGGTGTCGAAAATTGATTTTAGATGCATCATGAAGATTTTTTATATCATAAATTCTTTCCAGAATGAAGATTTTAGGTGAGTCTTTATTTTGTTTTCATAAAGCCTAGGCCATATAGAAATGTCATCCATTATTTTTATTACATATTGAAGGACTCAATTATCATTATTTTTAAAGATGTTGGTGATTTTGTAAAAAAAATACAAGTAATTATTGTTGTTTTTGCCACATGGCAATAAATTCTATACTCTTTTGGTTTTGGAAATTTGTATAACAAGCTCTTATGGGAGCATATTATATTATTATTCTATCACAATTGATAAGTACTTTTTAGATCTAAATATGTAGAAACTCATTTTTAATAAAAAATAAATACTTTTAATTTAAAAAAATTAAATTTTATTTTTTTGATAATTATATATTTATTTTTCAATCGAAATAGAGTATACCCAAGAGAACACAAATAGTTTTACGTAAACTTACTATGTAATACATACTACATACTTTATATATCATCACAACGCATGATAATTATAAAAGTTTATCCCAATCAACCTCCTAACCAAGATCCTAACCTTGAAAACAATTTCTTGATTGACACTTTTTCCCAAACCTGCTCGTATTTTATATATAGAAGATTGAAAGAGTCAAATTATCCTTACTAGCATTTGATGGTGCATTTTTTTCTTTTTTCATTACACTAGTATAGCTTCTCAATAAAATTCTTTTAAAGATACCTAAATTAGTCTAGTTTAGTATTTGGATGATGAATAG